CATACAGCTCGAAGAACACCTCGCATTGATCATGCCAAAAATGAGGATAGTCCCCGTCAAATTTCGAAAACACCATTTTGGGGAAAGGCGGTGAACGATTATAAGCAGGGGTATTCTCATCGATTGGAGCCAAGGGTGGTGGATTTGGTAAGGGGAACATACCCTTATCAAAGTCTTGTGACCGGGGTCCAAGGACACCGCCGCAGTGCTCGCCGAGCCCAACAACAGGCGGTTCTCCGTCCTTAGCCGAAGAGGATGAGGACAATCCAGGTGGAAGGTTGAGATCCCCCACCTTCAGTCCTGTCAGAAGCGGAGTGCCAGCCGGAGCCAACGTCAACCACGCCTCGTTCGAATCGACTCGATTTGTGGTGAGATCAACCCGCTTGGAGACGGCGGCGAGGGATGTGGCCGCACCGTCGGCTCTCTCAAGCAATTCTCCGAGCACCTTGTCCGCGCCCGCTTGCCAAGTTCCCACGGCGTCGAGCGTGTCTAGGGATGACTGCATCATGCTTTGAAACCCCACAAACTGCTTCATCATCGTCTCAAATTGGGTCGACACCTCCATCGACTTCGACATCTCCGTTTGAAATTTCGATCCTCGCTTCGGCGCCAGCCTCACGATCCTTGCTTCCAACGATCTGCGTTCATCACCAGTCTATTCAACCTCGGCTCGGCTGGATGCCGACGGGAATTACGACCAGGACGGGTGATTCACAGCGAGCTGATACCAATTGTGATGATCCACGAAGGAATCGTCAGATAACTGAAGGGAATTTGGGGAGAAATTGGAATTCAGGGTAGGAAGCAAGAGCAGCAGTTTAGGTTGGGAAGGGAACAGAGGGTTCAGAGTTCGTGTTTCTGTTCTTCGATAGCCTTTTCACGAGTTCATTATAGGGCCTATATACCTGGCCAAACCCAACACACGCAACAACACGTGACAACTGTTACCCTATGAGGTAGCCTTGGTGGCGATGCAACCTTCTTCTAATTACTCTAACAGCTTCACCCCACTGTCAGCGTCTCCATCTTCGCGCCGTTGTTTGGAGTCCTAATTGTCGGACGGTGAACAGATACCTTCCCCGCTGGAGCCTGCCTCCTCTTCTGACGTCGCCCGATCCAGACAGAGCCGCAGCGAAATCGAGCACCTTGCCGAAGATCCTGAACATCTCGATGGCGTAGATCCTGTCCTGTCCGACGACGAACGCCGCGTTGGGATCCCCTCCGGGTGCTTCAACACCTCGGTCCACTGGAGCGAGCTGAGGTCGAGCTTGAACAACGTGTGCACCACATTTTCCCTCCGGTTCACCGGCCCGTGGTGGTCTCATCCTTCATCTTGAAGTTCTCATATTCACTCTTGAGCATGTAGAGCTTGGCTCTTAACAACCTTAGTGCCCTCATATGTTTCACATAACCTTGTCCATACTTAACTTGCTAGCTCAAGATCCTTGATGCCTTCAAATACTTTTGAATCAATGCCATTGTAGATAGTGTTGATGGCCATGACATTGCATTGCTTGTTTGCTCTATCATTATCGGTGAGATGTTCGGGATCAAGAATAGCATAATCATGTTCGGTGACCTCCCAAACTCTCCTATTGATTGAGCCAAGGTACATCTTCATCTTTCTCTTCCAATAATCAAAAGAACTTGTGCCATCAAAGAAAGGTGGTCTGCCCCCAACATGGTTGAACACAACTTGAGCCATATTTTGCACCGAAGGGTGTTAATCCTTGCTAAAAATGGTGACCACTGCTTCGATACCACTTGAAGGGTCCTAATTGGCTAGAGGGGGGTGAATAGCCTAATTTTAAAATCTACAAAACACTAGAGCAATTTATTAGTAACACAAAAGGCGATAAATGCGGTTTGCTCTAGCTCTAATTATTAGACAAGCCACCTATTGCAATTCTAATAATTATAGTCTCTATGGCACACAATTGCTATGTCTTTAATTTAACACTAGTGAGCAAGCTAGAGAGCTAACTAGATCAACTAATAAAGCTATGCTACTCTACTTGCTATCTACCACTACAACTACACAAGATATATTACAAGTACGAGAGAGAGGAATTAATTTCAATACCGACGGTGAAATGTAGAGGATGATGCCAATCACCAAATAATTAATTCCAACACAATATATATCAATCAATCCAAATCCACCGGGAGACAAATATGACACCATTGATTTTTCTCCCGAGGTTCACTTGCTTGCTGGCAAGCTAGTCCCCGTTGTGTCCCACTACACCATATGGTTTGATTGGCTAATCGGTATCACAAGAGCCTCTCAAAGGCACCACAAGAACCTACCAATGGTGAGGAGTTGAATGACACTAGCAATCCACTAGAGTTGGAATTTGGCACTCCGCCGGGGAACCACAACAACCCCTCACAAATCACCTCTTGATTGGGGGCGGACACAATCACCAAATCCCCTCACCAATCAATCCAACACCAACCGTCTAGGTGACGGCAATCACCAAGAGTAATAAGAATACCACAATTGCAATCACTACCTAGTGCCACAAATATGAAACACAAATGCACATGAACACTAGGTTCCCAAATCCTCTCACCAAAGATTACCAACCATAGAGAGGGAGAGGAAAGGGAGGAGATCCTCTTGGAGCTCTCAAATCGATCTCTAGAGCTTGCTCTCTCACTTGATTGGGGCTCAAATCAATGGAGTGAGAGAGGAGGAGAGAGCTTTTCTTCCTAGGGTTTGCAAGGGAGGAAGAAGAGAGCAGAGGGGGCTCTGTTTCTTTTCTCTAGAACGTGGCCGAGAGGGAGAGCAGCCGAGAGGGCGCTCTGCCTTATCTGGCTGGCCACCAGCCACCACCCCACAGCACGTGGGTGGGACCACAGCCAACGGCAGGAAGGGCAGGGGTGCCCATCCCTGTCCATCCCAACGGGCAAGCAGAGCCACGGTTGACGGCTGCAGCAAGTAGTACCAGCGGCGGCAACGTCCACAAAAACGGACCAGGCAAGCACAGCACCGGGCGGCCTCCTCTTTTTGGCAGCCGAGCACATGGGCCAGCAGGCAAAGCGGCAGCAGCAGCAAAGGCCACTTGGGCCAGCACGCAGCAGCAGCTCCACTTGGGCCCGCGCAAGCAAACGGGCCAGAGCAGGCTGAGCAGAGCAGCAGCAGCGGCCGAGCATAGCCTGCTCTCTCTCACAGTCTCACGTGAACAAGGCAAGCAGCAGTAGGGCACCAGCCCTTCCTTTTTTTTTTTTTTGTCAACGTGTGCATGTATACGAATTAAATGGCCAAGAACACACGCACTTGCATGTGAGCATGCTGTAGCAAACATGGTCGGCTCTCTCATCCTCTTGCTCTGGTCAAGATGCAGCCAAGCCAAAAATAGAACGACACGTTCTCTCCTTTTCTATTTCTTCTAAAAAAAATATGCCAAACCACATTTAGCACAAGAAATAGCAATTTCACAAAGAATATTTTTCTAGGGATTTCCGGTGCATCTCACCACGTCACTAAGCGTACGCATATGTAAAATGAGACTCAACTTAGTGGGACTAGATGAGTAAAGCAATTATAATTTTTTTCTTTTAATAGTACGGTTATCAAACCTAAATCACCCACACCCTTTATGGTGTCTTGGGTGGTAAAACAAAAATGGCTCTATTAATTATACCTTCGCCTTGAGCCCATTTTATTTTTTTCTTTCTTCTTTTCCAAGTTGGAGCATATATATCATCTTTTGATCACCTCCATCAGCATGACCATCGTTTGCTCCATCACTTGCCATGTACCAACCTATCTTTGTATTTCACTCATGACAAAGATTAGTACAATTAGGTTTCATCAATTAACCAAAAACCAAACTAGAGCTTTCAGATGCCCACTTAGCACACATCAGCATGAAGAGCGGATTAAAACCCGTTTAGACCTATATAATACCCAAAGCCAAGTTCATGAACCCAAAAATAGTGTTTTGATAATAGAGGGACCTAAGTGACACCTCGTGCCAAGTTGAAAGACTGGCTATGAAATTTTCTCTTTTTTTATGGACGAAGAAAAAATCAAAAGCATTTGATTTTAATTCGTTTCACTCGAAGACGATCACAAGTATTATTTTAGATTAGATGGGAGGTAGTAATGCAAGAAACAGAATAAAAAGAAACTACTTCGAAGGTGATTCTGATCTCTGTTAAAAAAGAGAGATCACTAGAAACATTTCTACCCAGAATCTGTGTCGTCTTTAACCGTTTGGAATTGTTTCGAGTGACACTGAAGAGAATTCGAACCTATTCTCTTCTGGAGAGAATCCAAACCTATTCTCACATCCAAACGGACCATTCTCTTGAGAAACGGATCTTCTATTATCAGTCAATATTTAACCAGAATAAACAGAACGTCGAGAATGAATCCATTTAACAATGGAAAAAGCGCCCATGGAGGCCATAAATGTCTTTAACTATTTACTCCATTGAAACAACATAAAACTAACTAAAAGACAACAGGAAAGCCAAAGAACATGTACTCACATCGACGATAGAGCCTGTCACCTTGGTCAACGCCAAGATTAAGATTTCTGGTATATCATACAAACCTACAACAGATCTTGGTATCATATGGTAGCCCAGGTGACAGATTTGGTTCGCAGGCAGGCTCCGACACGGCGACTACTCCAGAGGCTGAAGAACGGGCCTCGCCATCGCCGTTGTCCAGGCCCAAGTGGCAGGCTCAGCCCAACCCGAAGACGACCGGCCCACAGCGGTGTACCTGAGTAGTATATGTATTGGGAAGACGAGAGCAGAGGGCAGGAACAATTTGTATCCAATTACTGAACTCTAATCGAACTTGTCCCCTACCTCTCGCCTCTGCTCTCTGCGGCGACGACCCTGCTGTTCGATTCCCTCTCCTACTCGTTCCTGCCGATCGGATTGCTAACAATTTGGTATCAGAGACTCGTGCATCCGTCCTGGAACCCTACCGTCCACCTCGTCCCCACTACACCCGCCTGGAACACTCTCGTGGCGTCATGGATCCCAACGTGCAACGCGTCCTCGACGAGCTCTCCGGCCTCAACCGCCGCTTCGACGAGCAGGCGGAGCAGGCGGCGGGGCTCAACAGGCAGTTCGACGACCTCGAGCGCAACCTGTCGGCGCGCAATGTGGTGGTCGGCACCCGTATCACCGACCTCTCCCGCCGCATCTGCGATTTGGAGGCGGCGCCGGCGGATCCTCAGGTGCAGGCTGTCGAGGGGCGTCTCGCCACGCTCGAGGCCAGCTTCACCGACTTCGACGCCCGCATCGTCGACTTGGAGTGCCTGCGCACGGCTAGCATCAAGGATGAGCGTGATGCCCCGTGGCGTGGATCCGGGGTCGTCACGACCTGGTCCCCGACCCGACCAATGGTACGTCCTCCATCCTGTTTCCCAATTCGTTTCCGTCTGCCAATTCACATCCTCACCATCCACCAATCCTTCACCATACTCACCCACCGCCACAGCCGCTCTCCGATCCACCTAGCTCCAGTTCCCACCCAGCCTTGATCGCCTATCCCCCTCCTCGGCCTCCTCCTCCTCCTCCCCTCAGACAAATCTACCACTTCCAACCAAGCACGTCGCATTCCTAAACTTCCTTTTCCCCGGTTTGATGGTGAGAACCCTCGGCGCTGGAAAACCCTGGCCGAGAAATATTTTCGCATCAATTTTGTCGAGGAATACCTCTGGATCGAGATCAGCGAGATGCATTTCGACGGGCCAGCGTCGTTGTGGTACCAGCCTATCGAGCATCAGGTCCCCACTCTGTCCTGGGCTGCATTCTGTGCTCTTATGCACGATCGATTCGATCGTGTGCGCCACGAGAACTTGATCAATCAGCTTTTCCACATCCACCAAACTTCTACTGTCACCAGGTAAAAAATTCAGTCCCAACTAAATCACGTCAGGCAGGTTGCAGGCATGGGTCCTAACTCCTAACGAGGCATCCCAACTGCAGGGTTACAACCAAACAGCCCCTTTTTGTTTGCAATATAACTTCCTTAAATAGCAATTGAGAATAAAATTGGTGCCAAAACTAACAGCAATGACGGAAAAGTTCAAGAAGATAATATACCAACAGACCGAACCAGTCACATTCCACAACCACAAGAAAGTAAAATGAGCTTGACAAAGAAACTCCAATTATCCCCAAGAAAACATTGCCGGTAGCAGTTGCAGATAAACGTCTAAGCAGGAAGACCATCAAAGAACTTCATGTAGTCATCAAGCTGCTCCTCATGCCTGATCTTAACGATTGAACCATCCTCTTGCACCTGCAAAGCAACAATAAACCATATTGATTAAATGACCAATGAAGAGAATTGATAGACAAAAGAGGCAACAAATGGGGAACCTTATGAATGGACATCCCCAAAGTATCAATTCCTTACAGTTACGGTCTACCACCTGCAAGCTTTATGTGTGTTCATATTCAAGTTGGTCTCGATGGTTAACATGCAGAACTCTAAGAAAACATTGGTTGGCCAATAGGCACAGGGGGTATTTGGAAACACAGAATTTGCAGGTTTTAAGACAATAAGAGCAACTTTGGCAATAGCCCTTATTTTAGAGCCCCAATGACCGGTTGTCAAGCTCCTCTACATGATCCCCTTCACCCTCCATGTTCTACGGCACCTCAGGCCTTGCCAGGCTTTGTTCCCTTAAGCTCCTCTAAGCCACCAGCACTAGGCTCCACTCTGCCCTAATTGGTCTGCTCAGCCTACCTTCTCAACAGCAATCAACAATCCAGAAAAGAACCAAGCTCCCCCGTCCATGGACAGATACCCATCTGCGACATTGTGGGATAGGCAAAGGGGACGCAGCGCAAGTAGGCTGGTAGGTAAGGACCAGGAGCGACAGGGTGCAAGCTGTGCGGCATGGTGTGGAATCAAGGGAAGATGGCGTGCAGGGAATTTCAAGCCAAGTTTGAGCCTCTCCACTTTTAACAGCCCCAACTCTCTACATTTGAGGCCTTAGGCAAAAAAAAAGGTGGCTTCAACAGGCTCAAGCACTCAAACTTGAGAGGCACCAGCATTTGCCCTTAGCCCCATTTCCCACTGGGCAAGCAAGCCATGCAAGGAGGCAGTGGAGGGTCAGGAGCAGTGGGGGTTGCAACCCTGCTGGACCTCGTTTCTTAAAATCAACAAACACACAAAACTGCTATAGTTGCTCTAAGGAAGACCCAGGCAAGTAATTGAAATTCCCTAGCGCACAGTGGGTTTTTCCATTTTCCTACAAAATAATCATGAGAAAAAAGGAATATAGGTGGTAATATGCCCCCCGGGAGGCTGCGCTGCCACCCTCTTTAGCTAAAATATCATGTTGCACTGTTTCAAAAAAAATCATCACAAAAATCACGTATGTAGTACCTAAAGCTAAGTGTAGCTGAAACAATTCAGTTTGAAATTCATCTATGATGTTGAGATTCAAAAAACACAAGTGTCACTGTCAGCACATGATGAACAATGCCAGGTTGACTACTTGTTTATTTTGTTTCTTGACATATATTAATATCAAACTAACTGTTGCAACTATACTTAACTTTATGTGTTCTACATGCGTGATTTTTGTGATGATTTTTTGAAACAATGCAACATGATATTTTAGGTATCAAGGGCGCCAGCCCCCTGGGCACTGAATATGCGTTGTAGTTTGTACCCAGTATGATGAGGACATGGCACCTTCGGATATGAACAATGATTATAAGGTGCGCTCGTTCCTATATTTGCATAGTGGACTTGGTTATAATTCACTTGGTTCCACATGTACATGTCAACGGGAATCGTCGAAACAAGTCAGCGTCCAGAATCTGTCAGGGTGTTGCGACACCTTCTTTTGGGCCGTTGGACCTTGTAACGTGTTGGGACACCTTTAGGACGTGAAGAGGGATCCTTGGACGTTCCTTAGGCTATATAATCAGTAGCCACCACCTACTTTATGGTTTGGATTTTGCTTAGATTATTCTGTCAAGAAACAGTTTCGCCGTTCTTCGGTTTGTGAGACCCCAACTCGTGAGATTAATCATTCATCTGCAATTTGGTTGCGTTCTTTCTTGTTCTTGCTTGTGTTCTTCGTTGCGCAGGCAGGGATTAGCCTTCTTGGCGAGGTCAACCTGGTCCGTGACTTGGTTGATAACCAGAGGAGCTGTGGTGCTAAGATTGCAGGGTTCGATCTTTCGATCTGAAGCCGGATCGGTGTGTCATTCTCCGCCACAACGATAGTTACCGATGACTGACGGAAGATCGGGATCCCCGTCCCCATTAAGTGATGATGAGGACATGGCACCTTCGGATATGAACAATGATTATAAGGTGCGCTCGTTCCTATATTTGCATAGTGGCTTTGGTATAATTCACTTGGTTCCACATGTACATGTCACTATTTGATTGTAGGTTCAAATGTGTTTCATAATGGAAGTTCATCAAAGTTGAACTTTTGGTTCGTCGGCAGCCCGACAGTGCCTCATTGGGAAGGCCATAACTCATCCATCCGGAGTGCGATCGAGGTCAATGAGCACTTGATGGAAAGCTTGTTTGATAAGCTTTCAAATAGATCTGGTTCGATCTCAATATCACGTCGGCAAGGCCTCCAAATCACCAATATATTCTGTCGCTGTTTCTGTTGGGAGCTACACTGTCGTTATGGGCTTGTTATTCATCCTTGGGACCTGGCCCAAGTGGGAGCTCACCCAAGGACTTGGAGAACCCACCAAGAAAGCCCTTGGACGTCCTCCTCCTTGGCCACCACCTTATGAGGCCAACAAGGACGTCCAAGCCAAGCCGTGAGGCCCAGTCCAATCCGAGTTCGAGTCTGCCTCGGCCATCAGGACCAGTCTGCAATAAAACGGACGTCCAGGACGCATCCGAACTCCGTTTTGATGATCCACATATGGATGGAAAGATAATTTGATAAGGAAGCCAATCCAAGTGGTTTCATATCAAAAGCTCTTCGGAATCAACGGGAATCATCAAAACAAGTCAGCGTCCAGAATCTGTCAGGGTGTTGCGACACCTTCTTTTGGGCCGTTGGGCCTTGTAACGTGTTGGGACACCTTTAGGACGTGAAGAGGGATCCTTGGACGTTCCTTAGGCTATATAATCAGTAGCCACCACCTACTTTAGGGTTTGGGTTTTGCTTAGATTATTCTGTCAAGAAATAGTTTCGCCGTTCTTTGGTTTGTGAGACCCCAACTCGTGAGATTAATCATTCATCGCAATTTGGTTGCGTTCTTTCTTGTTCTTGCTTGTGTTCTTCGTTCTGCGCGGCAGGATTAGCCTTCTTGACGAGGTCAACCTGGTCCGTGACTTGGTTGATAACCAGAGAGAGCTGTGGTGCTAAGATTACAGGGTTCGATCTTTCGATCTAAAGCCGGATCGGTGTGTCATTCTCCGCCACGACGATAGTTACCGATACTGACGGAAGATCGGGATCCCCGTCCCCATTAAGTGATGATGAGGACATGGCACCTTCGGATATGAACAATGATTATAAGGTGCGCTCGTTCCTATATTTGCATAGTGGCTTTGGTTATAATTCACTTGGTTCCACATGTACATGTCACTATTTGATTGTAGGTTCAAATGTGTTTCATAATGGAAGTTCATCAAAGTTGAACTTTTGGTTCGTCGGCAGCCCGACAAGTGCCTCATTGGGAAGGCCATAACTCATCCATCCGGAGTGCGATCGAGGTCAATGAGCACTTGATGGAAAGCTTGTTTGATAAGCTTTCAAATAGATCTGGTTCGATCTCAATATCACGTCGGCAAGGCCTCCAAATCACCAATATATTCTGTCGCTGTTTCTGTTGGGAGCTACACATGTCGTTATGGGCTTGTTATTCATCCTTGGGACCACGGCCCAAGTGGGAGCTCACCCCAAGGACTTGGAGAACCCACCAAGAAAGCCCTTGGACGTCCTCCTCCTTGGCCACCACCTTATGAGGCCAGCAAGGACGTCCAAGCCAAACCAGAGGCCCAGTCCAATCCGAGTTCGAGTCTGCCTCGGCCATCAGGACCAGTCTGCAATAAAACGGACGTCCAGGACGCATCCGAACTCCGTTTTTGATGATCCACATATGGATGGAAAGATAATTTGATAAGGAAGCCAATCCAAGTGGTTTCATATCAAAAGCTCTTCGGAATCAACAGGAATCATCAAAACAAGTCAGCGTCCAGAATCTGTCAGGGTGTTGCGACACCTTCTTTTGGGCCGTTGGGCCTTGTAACGTGTTGGGACACCTTTAGGACGTGAAGAGGGATCCTTGGACGTTCCTTAGGCTATATAATCAGTAGCCACCACCTACTTTAGGGTTTGGGTTTTGCTTAGATTATTCTGTCAAGAAATAGTTTCGCCGTTCTTTGGTTTGTGAGACCCCAACTCGTGAGATTAATCATTCATCTGCAATTTGGTTGCGTTCTTTCTTGTTCTTGCTTGTGTTCTTCGCTGGTAGCAGCAGGATTAGCCTTCTTGACGAGGTCAACCTGGTCCGTGACTTGGTTGATAACCAGAGGAGCTGTGGTGCTAAGATTGCAGGGTTCGATCTTTCGATCTAAAGCCGGATCGGTGTGTCATTCTCCGCCACGACGATAGTTACCAGTACCTGACGGAAGATCGGGATCCCCGTCCCCATTAAGTGATGATGAGGACATGGCACCTTCGGATATGAACAATGATTATAAGGTGCGCTCGTTCCTATATTTGCATAGTGGCTTTGGTTATAATTCACTTGGTTCCACATGTACATGTCACTATTTGATTGTAGGTTCAAATGTGTTTCATAATGGAAGTTCATCAAAGTTGAACTTTTGGTTCGTCGGCAGCCCGACAGTGCCTCATTGGGAAGGCCATAACTCATCCATCCGGAGTGCGATCGAGGTCAATGAGCACTTGATGGAAAGCTTGTTTGATAAGCTTTCAAATAGATCTGGTTCGATCTCAATATCACGTCGGCAAGGCCTCCAAATCACCAATATATTCTGTCGCTGTTTCTGTTGGGAGCTACACTGTCGTTATGGGCTTGTTATTCATCCTTGGGACCCTGGCCCAAGTGGGAGCTCACCCCAAGGACTTGGAGAACCCACCAAGAAAGCCCTTGGACGTCCTCCTCCTTGGCCACCACCTTAGGAGGCCAGCAAGGACGTCCAAGCCAAGCCAGAGGCCCAGTCCAATCCGATTTCGAGTCTGCCTCGGCCATCAGGACCAGTCTGCAATAAAACGGACGTCCAGGACGCATCCGAACTCCGTTTTCGATGATCCACAT